TCACTCTCTGCACTCCTTTCCCTCTAGCTGCCCTCTCTCTCTCTCTCTCTCTCTCTCTCTCTCTCTCTTACACACATACATGCCATGCCATGATCATAGAAATAAAAGAGCACTTATTTTTGTTTTCGTTTTGTGTGTCCCGTTCTTTTATGCTTACATCGATTTGTTTTTAATATTTTAACACTTTTCGAGTGGATTGAGTATTGGGAGTTGTGTGAACATGATGTGAATTCGACGAGTTGGATGTTACGTGTTGGCAAATGTTGGGCGAATCAGATGCAGATATGCGAAAATCGCTGCCGTTTACAAATCGAGAAGAGATTCATAAAATCTAATGCTTTGCAAAAAGAGGAACAAGAGACAGAGAGAAAAAAATGCAACGAAGACAACATCCAAATTGAAAAGCAATTGAAACGATGAGTTGAAATTGTGAAATGCACAGAGATAACAGGGGAAGCCTCGGCTTATAGTCCTGCTAAGTATCCAATATGTATTAATAAAAATGGCAACGATAATGGTTTCTTGGATCTGTTTGTTTGAAAGTGTCTTTGGTTGTAGTGTGTGTGTGTCGATATACAAAAAAGCGATTTACTAATACGATAACTGGCAAACTGGTTGGGTGGTATTTCGGCCGCCGAGGTGAAGAGCGTCATTTGAATGTTTCAATTACGCGATTGCTTTGAAATCACCAATGCATTCGCTCGTAAACAATATCACGTTCAATGGGGGAAAAATTGGCACGTATAAACCATGTAAACATTGCTATTCGACAAGCATACAATTCTTCAATCACATCGTACATGGGATATGTTACTTTGAGGATTACACATTTTGATCACTTTTTCCAACACCGCGTGATTGTTTCTGCGCTTTCATTGGCGATTGTTTCGATTTTCATGTGTTCGCGAAAAAATCCCAAAGAATAAGCCAAAGATACATTCAATCACTAGCCTGTTTGCCGCTTGTCAATGGGAAAAGAATGAAATGTTCACAATGACACGATGCATTTTCAATGGTGTCTCTCTTTATTTCCTTGTGCCATCGAAAATTTATGTGTTTCATGTGGAACGACCAATCAACGTAAATATTTTGTCACTCTTCTAGTGGCGACAACTGCGACAGCGACGGCATCGGCGGATGGGGATAAAATCAAATGAATTCCGTTATATTCGTAGCTTGGCTTGGTTTGGCTTAGGAGATGGTGTTCATGTCACTCGATGGCCAGCAGAGCACACACACAGTGTGCTAACTCGATTTTTAAGCTGTTTGTTGATTTGCGTACATAAATAAACTGTTGATTTATTTTTGTGGTGTTTGGCATTTTCTGCCTTAAATCGAATAAACTTCCATTCCCTCCACAATGCCCAATGGCATGTACGCCAGTCTATCTTTGGCCAATTCATATTTTGCGTCCATTCAATTCGAAATACATTGGCTCGCGTCCTCATTCGCTCATTTCTATACAATCAATCTCTTGGCGCGGTGAGAAAAAGAGATGGAACTGTAGAGCCTTTCGGCTACATGTAGTATTTTATTGGGAAAAATAGCAATTCCGAAAGGTCTTTGTTCCACAATTAAATTGATTCGGAATTTGTAAATGCGAGAAAATTGAAGTAGCTCAGCTGAAATCAGTTTGCCGTTCGTGTTTCGTTGCATGCTTCGTCTCGCTTCAATTCGTGTGCCCGGCGCCTCGTTTCACATACCGTATATATGGACGCGTGTGCTGGATCGTTTTCCCAGTTGATGCTACAATTTCGGTTACAGAATTTCGAATGACATCGACATTCACAAAATCAATCAGAGATACAAATAAAGCGAAACCGTCGTCACAAGCGACAGCGCCTCGAGTTGCTTGCCACTTTGCCATCGCTCGCTCATTTTCCAATTGGTTTTTCAACAAACGCTTGGATGGAACGAGTGTTTTTCCAAAAAGCATAATAAATATAAATTACTCAATTTCAATTAAAATTGTCTCGAACAACATATTCCAATGCCTATCCGATTAGTTTGTAGTTTTAGTGACGGTAAAATAGGACCAAACCAGCTCGGCACATACACAAACACACATCAATCGGCTGGCAGATTTGGAGAGTGAGAGAAAGAGAAAGAGACGGTGCGAGATTTTCACCAAACATTGACTGGGCAATTTTTTGGGGATGAAATTATGTGCTTTTGTGTGATTTACGCGCAATACCAGCTAACCGAATTGGCCCGACTGTAATCTGATTAGGAGCAAAAGAGACGAAGAATTGACGCAGAATTTTTCGAACGCTTTCGTTTTGGTTGAATTCTCTCTCTCTCTCTCTCTCTCTCTCTCTCTCTCTCTCAGTCTCTGTACTATTACCATCGATTCGTGTGGTGCTGCCCAATTTCATATGTTTTCTCTCACTCGCTCTCTCCACTGCCACCATTGAATTAAATGTCGCTTTTGGAACGTGCATTCGAACCACAACAAAGTTCATTGAAAATTGCAATTAAAGTACGTATACAATTCCACATGAGGAAAACCACACCGAGAAACTATACCAAACGAATAACAGATATTCGGTAGTTTTTTTTTTTGTAAATATCATTGTTAGCCCGTGTTAAGTTAACTTTTGAATTTGAAATTAAAGAACTTTATGCGGGATCGAAAATAATTTGATTTGGTCTATTTTTAGTCTGCATCAAAAAGGTAACACGCTGTTGATGTGGTGTACGTTGAACAGATTGTTAGGCCATTTTCATTGTGATTCCGCGTTTTGTGACAACAACAAAAAACCAGTCAACTATGAAAATGCCAAAAATAGCCAAACAATTGTGCAAATAAATCACTTGAATGACTTATTCAATTGGATGAAACTTATTCAATTTGGAGCATTGACAAGCGAATCAAAAAAAAATATCTTTTTCAAATTTAACACAAACAAATCAAATTGTGTAGGTGAAAAACCAGAGCAGAGAATGAACAAAAGTTGCTGTCGATTTATACGTAATTTTTAGAACATTTTCATTCGGTTTTCGTAATGACACTCGACAGTTGCACTCAGCACACACAGACACAGACACAGACAAAGACACATGCATACGTACAGTACGAGGAGGTGGAAAAAAGTCCATGCACTGTTTTCTTTGTGTATATTTATGAAAAATTAAGTTCAATAACACGTGTCGAAAATGCAATATATCAGGAGCCAGCGGCAAAAACGAAACTCGGTGCCTCCAATAGAAAACAAATGAGACAATGACATTTTTTGCGAGTTTCATGCAATTCTAAAGTTGCGCAACACACAAAATACGATGAATTCTGAGCTAGAAATGTGGAAAATCAAGCAATAATAATAATCGGTAATCTGAAAACGCAATCAAAATAAAACTATAGAAGCCAAAAGTGGAGTGAAAGAGAAAGTTATTATTTATTTCTGATGAAGGAGGATCCGAATGCAATTCATTCAGAATTTCGTTTTTATTTTATTGTAAATTTCAAATGCCAGTTTTTCCGCTAAATTACCCAATATTTATTCTCCCGGTCAAATCTGACTTTTGTAAGGATCTTTCCCGAACGCTTTGTCAAATCTATGTCATACACAAACCAATAATATTCCATAGATTGAAATTAAGAGCAAAATAAATGGTTGAATACACAAAGAATGCCGATAATCGCAATTAATCATTTCGATTCGGTGCGCTGTTCGACAAGAGCACAACAGCAAAACATAAACGAAACATAAAACCAAACAAATTTTTCAAGTAAAGAAGAAATGTTACGATGAAATAAAAGCGAATTTCAGAAGTTGAGCGTTTCTTTTAACAAAAAAATGAGATGTTATGAATTGACTCAAAAATGCAGCAAGTGAAAATGTAAAAAATAGTGAAAAATGACCATAAACTGCGAAAGGCACCAAGCAAGCGTTGGGTAGAAAGAGAAGCAGAGTCAGAGCGAAAGTGAGACGGAACAGAAGAAAAACGACGAGATAAGATTCGATTGAATTTGGAATTTGTCCACAAAATTCCCTCGATGCTCGAATTGGTTGCGGACCATACTGGCTGCAAAGAAGCACTGACACTCTGTAAATAGATATATATGTGAAACATTTTTCCGATTTTAGTTTTCATAGTTCTCTCTCTCTCTCTCTCTCTCTCTCTTTCTCACTGCATCATCATCATCATGGTCGTCGTTGTGGTCGTGTGTCTTGCCTTGTCTTTGCGCTCTATTCTAGATTATGGTTGCTTGCTTATTGGCTTTTCGTATCAATAGTTTCATTCCACAACCAAGAGGAATATTGTATGACAGTGGAATAATTTATAGCATATCTTGTTTTTTCTTTCTCGTTCGAAAACTTCAGAGAATGAAAATACCGGTTCATTGTAATGAACTTTGATGAAGTTCTAGCTCTCGAAACAAACGTAAAAAAAAGATGTGGCACAATAATGATGTTTAAAAAAAAAATCGAAATTTGTTGAACAATGGTTTTAAATCACGATGACACATGTTATATAAACTCTGATGCCGATTAATTATTTACGATCAACGCAAAAATAGATGCATTTCCATGATTCAGTTTCTGAAACATGTACAAGCGAATAATTTAATGATAATTTTGCTAAGACGGTCATATATTTATAATCACACATTTTCAAAAGCCGAAAAGTGCTTCTATAAATAAATATGTCTTTCTATATTAAAATGGCTTTTGATTGAACAGTGTACAAACATAGAATCAACTACGACGATGACGACAATGATGATGACAATAACAGCTACGGCATGTTTGCCCTCTTGTGCTGATACTTTGACACGAGAATCGTATGTTTGTCTTGAAATTCTGATTCGAATAGCAAATAGCAGTCAAATGAGTGAAAGAGACATGTAGAGAGCATAATGATCGTTGCTACACATAACGAAAATAGAATTTTGGTTAGATCGTGAATATAGAGTCATATACACAGGCACATTTACACACACACACACACATCGTAGTAGCCGTAACGAATTGTTGCTTGAGCGTGTGCGTGCATGTGTGAGTGTGGCATGACGGCATCACTCTCGAATCGACTTCATATTCAAATATACATATTTTCATGCTTTAGGTCATTTGCGTTGAAAAATTTGTTCCGGTTTGTACGTGCCAGTGTCCATAACAACTCTATTCAGTGCAGTAAATAAATATTTTGTGACTGTTTTTTTTTCTTCGTGCGTTTTATCAACAAAACTAAATCATCGAATTATCGATTGAATTTTCTGTTTTCAGAACACTTGCCGGTTGCATTAAAACGAAAACATATATCGAAAACAAATTCTGGGTACATTTGGTGTTTGGGCTGATATTCACAAGCGGTAAGTCTATTTTTAAGAATTGAAATTGTGAAATTGTGTGAAGTGAATTTCTCTTGCTAAGTTCATCAGTTCGAAAAGGAGTACGTTTTTTCTGCAATCGCAGTCAACATGAAAACATTTGAAACACAGATCCATTCAGTTTGATTGGTTCTTTTTTTTTTCATATATTCAAAAATCAAATTCATAACGAAGTAGGCATCAATGTAAACGCTGCTCAACCGTTCACCAACGTTGACTTTTACAGTGAGAACATATTGTGAACGCATCGCATATGAGCTACTATCCGAAATGACACACATGAGTGCGCAGCGTATCGGAATGTGCGTATTTCTGTATTAAAGTGTCCATGTGAGTGTGCATGTGTGTGGTGATCACATCGCGTTCGTTTCGTTTTTTTTTTTCGTTATTGCTCAGTTCAGTGGACGATTCTCATTCGATTCTAAAACATTGTACTGGGTAGAAGACATGAGATACGTCATCGCTGTGTGATTATTATGTGTGTGTTTTGGTGAGCACGAAGGGCATACGTGTGTGTGCTCGTTCGTTATTTTTATTTACAACACGAAATGTCATAGTTTCACATGGGTGCTGTGAGGTAAACACAAAATTAGCCGGCTGTGCATTTTGGTGAAGGATTTTTCGGCGAAAGGAAAATTCCAATTGCAACGGTCAATTGATTTTGGTTTTATTGATAAATTCCGCTGTGAAATAGATTATTGAAAAAGTTTCACATTGAGATTGTTTTCTAATTTTCTTGTATGTATCTCTCTCTCTCTCTCTCTCTCTCTCTTTCTTTCTTTCTTTCTTTCTCTATGTTTGTTCTGTGTGCACTTTGCAGGGGAGCAATTGGACTGTTGGTGCTGCTGCTGCTGATGAGATAACCTTTTCACAATGGTGCAGTACGTTGTGTTTGCGGCTTTTCTGGCGTTTCGAATATTATCCGTGTTTGTGGTGAAAACTTGGTACGTGCCGGACGAGTATTGGCAAAGTTTAGAAGTGGGTCATAAATTAACCTTTGGATATGGTCACATGACATGGGAATGGTCAAAGGGCATACGAAGCTACATACATCCGTTGAGCATAGCCGCATTGTATCGGGCGCTCGCTTGGTTCGGTCTTGATCAAGTGGAATATTTGGTGTTGGCGCCTCGCATTTTACAAGCACTGCTCTCCGCATTCAGCGACTATTGCTTCTATCGCTGGAGCAAAAACAGTAAATGGTCCATATTTTTGATATTAACATCCTGGTTTTGGTTTTATACGGCCACCCGAACGCTACTCAATACGGTCGAAACATGTTTAACAACCATTGCATTGAGCCTCTATCCACGCCATCACGAGCCCGATTCGCATAAATTCCTTTGGATCGTTGCCCTGGTGTGCTTCATACGGCCAACGGCCGCTATTTTATGGTTTCCGTTGTGCATAATTCATATGCAAAAATCGATTCATTCCGTTGCCGAACTATTGATTAAGCGGTACTTGTTAATTGCGTTAATTGTTGGCACAATTGCTGTCGGATTGGATTCGTATGCGTATGGTGAGTTCATTGTGACGCCATTGGAATTCTTCAAAGTCAATGTGCTCGAGAATGTGGGCAGTTTGTATGGCATACATCCGTGGTATTGGTACTTTACTGTCGGTTTGCCAACTATTTTGGGACCATTTGCATTGCCTTTTCTCACCGCCATCGTCCAGACGCTGCAGAACCGTGAAACCTATCCGGATCGTTTCAATCTATTAATAGCCACACTTTTCACACTCGTCGTGTACAGTGCACTGCCACACAAAGAGTTCCGTTTCATTTTGCCATTGCTGCCGATTTGCTTGCACATTACCGCCGATTCGCTGAAGAATTGGAGTCGCGATGCATCTCGTATTACCATTTGGATTGTTGCTTTGGCCATGCTCATTTTCAATGCAATTCCAGCCGTTTATTTGAGTTGGGTACATCAACGCGGCACCACCGATATTATGCTTCCGATTGAGCGCATTGCACGTGAATATCGCGATTTGGATGGTAATCAGGCGAAATTCTTGTTTTTAATGCCATGCCATTCAACGCCGCTGTACAGTCACGTTCACCAAAACGTCTCACTGCGATTTTTGACATGCGAGCCCAATTTGAATAGCGAAGAAAATTACACTGATGAAGCCGATCAATTTTATGCCAATCCAGCCGCTTGGCTTCGGTCTCACGTACCCGTCTATCCAAAATCAGCGATGCCAACGCATACCGTACTTTTTGATAGCCTCCAACCGCAAATTAGTGAATTCCTCAAAAGTTACAAATTAATCGAAACCGTGCACCATTCGAATTACACGGACAACCGCGTCGGACACAATGTTCTGCTGTACGAACGTGTCATCGATGTACCACCGACAAAGCCGAAAGAACAACCGAACCAATTCAACATACCAGACAATTCAGTACCCATACATGATGAGTTTTAATATATATATATGTACTTTGACACAAACGCGCACACACACACAAACAAATATCAGGTAGTTCAATTCTAAGCTCATTGTTTTAATGCAGAAGTCTGATTTTCTTTTTAAAAGCGCGTTTGCTCTTCTTAATACAATTTGTTTCATATTTCAAATTTTAAAAACATTTGCAATACATTTCAATTTAATGTAAGATATGTTAATTTCTCTATTAAAATTTATTTTTTTTTTCTTCTAATTCTCTTTGAAACTCCTGGATTGCTGCAATAAAAACGAAAATTGTGTAATGTAATAAAAGACATTTGACGCAAAATAAAATATAAGCCAAATGACACATTTAAAAAACCAATTGTGTTTGATTTGATTTTCGATCTTGGAATCATCGATTTTTCTGTATCTCTGCCACCAAAATTCGGTGCAGTGATACTTTAGAAGATGAATCGAATAAAAAAAGAGAAAATGAAATGGGCATGAAGCAAAACCAACATTCCAATTTGACAAAAATCCAATTAGCAAATAATGAGGAATGTTAAGAAATGGGACAAATCGACAAACGACATCCCGTGAAATTTCTCCCCGCACAATTTAAATCGAAAATTCGTTCACAATTCAAGTGGAACTGATAGCGTTAATATTACGAAGCATTTTCGTGACTCTTGCGTGCCGGGTAATTTGCGGCTTTGACGGTGAAAAGTTTTAGGCTTATCATGATACTCCCTTAAGTAGTCGTGCGTTGCGTCGAGGGTTCGTATCGAAGTAAAAGAAGAATAAAAATGAGATTATAAATTCGAATTTTCAGTGTGAAACATCACACACTTGAAGTGAATTTGTGCGACTTGGAAAAAAAAAATCAAAAATAAGCATTTTTAATTGGGAGCATTATCATTATTTACGCATTCATTTTTCATTCTTATTAAAATGCATTCTCAAATTGGTTACTGGTATAATGTATTTTATTCTCTCTCCACTTCCTCCGTATCATTCAAAATGTTCAAGCAGCAAGCTATATCTTGAACATTTCTGGGTAGTCGTGATGCGTTCTTCGTCGACACTCACCGTACGAAAAAAAAACGCTGATTTGGTTATTTCCGTTGCAATTGTACCCATTTCGGGTGGCTAAGTAATTCTATTGAGGATGCGGAAGAATATGTGCGATGGAACTGGCAGCCGGAAAAAAATAACACAAAACATTTTAATAAGAGTGATAGCTGTTCATTGCCATGAGCAGGAGTGCTGCTGAAACGACGAATGGAGAACGGTTTTGATTTTTCAGCTGGGTTTTTCTTCCCTCTTTCTCTCTCTTCATTTTACATTTGAAAAATCATTTTCAAGTTTAATCCCAAATCCACTTCACACATTTATTTCTACTGAAGATTGGGATACATCTACATACGCTTGCAACGAATTTATCTTGCGTTATGTTTATGTTATGATACTGCTATAATTTTTACTCGCAAATAAAAACCGACGATCTGAACTGATTGCTATTTACTCTCATTAAAAAAAAAATTCAAAACTGTGAGCAATTCTATTTTAAGAATATGACTTTTTTATCAAGCGCTGAATCTTCTGATATTTTATTTTTAAATAATAATTTCTTTCATGAACCTGGACGTTTTCAATACTTTTTCTGGTTTTAGTGAATGGAAAAAAAGGAAAATGAAAAAAAAAATGATTAATGACATTAGCACACATTCTGTGGGTTTCTTCTCCAATGTGTTGCTGATAGATTTTTTCACTTCCATTTGCGAACGTTTCGAAGTTGGCATTTTGTATTGAAATGCTATTTAAACGATGTGTTTATGCATGCAGAGAATGGATTAATTTTGATATTTTACCAAAACGATTTAGATTTGGCGCAATATCGACTATACTCGTAACAAGAAAAAAAAACGTTTCAATTGACTCTATGCCGGGCCATAAATGATTGCATTTCTACTTTGCCTCCTATAAAAGTGACATTTTTGGTCACTTTTTGCTTGCGAAAGGGGATGTGATGTTTGGAAATTCAGTTGGGTTCCATGTCATTTTTTTTTTTGACTACTATGAAAAATTGAAGTCAGTCTCAGTGTATGGCGTTGACTTGGCCCGGGCCGATTCAGCGACGATAGCACAACGATATTTGCCAAAAGCACAATCAAAAATGAATCGACCAGACGGCAATGTGCCATCATTTTTTGATCAGGATCTCTCTCATGCTCTCACTCTTTCGAAGCAAACTCTCGCATCTCCTACCCCAAATATATTTTGTGGCGTTTTAATATTTTTTCCTGAATGTGCTTCGTTTTCCTCGTCAATCCGTAGGAATTTATTTTATTTGCATAATTTATAATTTATTGCTGGTGTCGCTATATTTCAGATCAAAGCCATCGTCTCTCTTGCAGCTGCATTCATTCTCTATTTCTCTCTCTCTCTCTCTCCCGTTCTCTGCACTTTTTTCCTATATGCACGATACTCAAATGGTATTTGCATTGAAAATGTGATTATTAGTTTGCGATACATCCCATCCAAATCCATATTTAATCCGGTATTTTTTTTTTTGTATGACTCAGGTTTTTGCTTCTCACTCACATTTTTCTCATGAAAACGGCTGCATTTCACCATTTCTATCGGTATATGCTCATTTAATTGCAAGCGAGGCAGAGGCAGGAAAAAAGTGCACACCATGCAAAACTTTGCAAACACATCCCTAGATCTGGATTTAAATTCATTATATGGACAGTTAGAAAATAGCGGTGGCAGCGGAAAAATGTATATTTTTCGCTACAATTAATTCGAAAAATTACATTCGATGTTTGAATGGAAAGCATTACCATCGTCGCCGTCGCCGCTGCTGAAAAAAAAGCAATCAATAGGTCATGAAAATTTAGTTGTGTTTAATCACATATCGACCGTTCGATGCGCTAAAATTATATGCAAATTAAATTACACGAATCAGAGAATTGTGCTCACACACATACATGGGTACATGGGCGACGAAAGATGAAACGACGAGCACGCTAAGCAAACGAATTTGTACACGAATTCAACGATTGAAAAAAAAATGTACCCAACCGAAATAAAACCAAATGAATATGTCGTGATGAAAAAAAAAAGAGTGACGGTAAGGGAGACCCAGTGAAGCGATAGTAAACCGAAATAAAATGAATATTTATATTTTGGTTCACCCATTAACTCCATTTGAAAAGAGATAGGCGACAGAATGAAAAACATCAACACACTCGATAGATAGAAAAAAGCGAAAGCAAGAATTAGTAACCAGTAAACAAAACACCGATCACACATACTGTAAATGTCTATAAATTTGTGGGCGGAATGACGAGAGTTGGACGCTCTCATTTTTGTCATGATTTTTTGCCGTTTTATACGTATGGGGAATACCGGCAGGCGAAATGTGGGCCATTTTACATACGAGCAATATCAGCACGAGCAGGCGTATAGTGGGTATGATGGGGTCGATGGTGGCCGATGCTATTTTGCATGTTACCGTCTATATGCGATTACCGTGTACCGAGAGAACTCGAGACACAGAGTGAGTGAGTGAGTGAGAGAGAGAGAGAGAGAGAGAGAGAGAAAGAGAGAGAGAGATCGGGCGCTGTTTGAATATTTAAATGATCGAAACGAGCGTTGCGAGCTCACCAATGGTATGCCATCCGAACCATGTATATGCACCTCAAAATTGCTCTCTTTCTCTACACTACACAAAAGCTGCACAAGCAGCATCAATTTACTACAGCAACAACAGCAACAACAACAACCATTTGAACCGAATATTTTCGTGAATCAGCGAATTTGTCGAATGAAAGCTTTTCATGTTGAATACAAATTTATTCAAATCGATTGTGTGTATTAGTGTGAATGCATATATTCGAATGATGAACGACAGCAATGTGGTCGCTACCCTCATCGTCGTCATTGTTGTTGTCGCACGTCACACACTGCAAGTGGTATAGGGATAGAGATACAAAATAACAAAATAATTGAAGCATCCAACCGACTAACATATAAACAAACACAACATATTCTCTCATCGCACACGCACACACAGCAATGCCAACGATGACAAATATCTTCATTTTATCGTTAAAACGAGGTATATGAACTATAATTTTGTGAGCGAATGATTTTTTTTTTCTCCGCTTTCTCCCTGTGTTCTACCAAAGCGCTCATAAAGTGCCCAATAAGCAATTCTGTTCCGATGCAAGCGAGATCAATCCAAAGCAAGAGAGGAATGAGGGAAAGAGTAATCTTTTTTTACAGTAAAATTGATTTGTCGCTCGCAAACACACACACACACAACCACCGCTTTCATAAACAACAGCAAGTGAGATTGCAGATATTGAAAAGGAAGAGAGAAAAAAAAAACGATAACGAATTTTCCGGTCTACTGACAATTTCATTGCAATGTTGCTGCTTTCTCTCTTGTATCTCTAGCTCTCCCTCTTCGGTGCCAAAAACGCTCCATAGAAAAGGGCTATACATATCTACTGGAACGGTTTGAACTTTTGTGATCGGTTTGAGATTTATGACCATCTGTAATTATTTTCACTTGTTTGAGAATTATATTACGAATGTGATGGTGGTGTGTGGTATGAGATTTAACCGAAATCCCATCACATTTCCAGCGATATTTCACAAGCATATTTCAATGGTATATTGGATAAGGGATTTAAGGCGATTTTGATTTCACAATTAAGAACTTCCGTACACTACGTAGATGTAGTGAAGAGAAAAAGAATTTCGAATGATAATGAACAGAAAGAGAGATAAAGAGAACGTAAAAGCATATCATACACATTCTTCTTTATCATCCAACAGGGTATGAAGAAATTCCATGTGATTTGCATTTTGTTTGAAAGAGTGCACAGAATTGACGAACAAGTGAAACTGCAGATAAAGACGAATTGGGAAAAGTATTTATTGGAAATAAATTGTGATGAAGGTAGGTATTTGCAAAGTTTCCAGCAGTGAAATGAATTGTAAAGTATTCAACGGGAATCGGAATGTGATCCAGCTGTATATGTATACGTACAAATTTACTTCTATCGCGCGCAAGAAAAAAAATATGATACGCACATTTTCGTATGTTTCGCGCTGATAAAGTATGTTAATACGGTTCCGCATATTTCGCGCATAAGTTTTTCATAGTTGAACATGGAATGTAAGGGGGATGATTATATATATATATATATATATGGTTACGGCTATGCACAAATCGCAAACTAGAAAAGGCGAAGGCCTTAAATAATGCCGGGCACGAAGCGTGAAGTGAAGAAGAAGTGGGGAGGACTGGGCCACGGAATGGATTGGATATGCTTCGAATATTTTGTGCACACAGCATATAT